CTGTCTGTTCTTTAAGTATCTTAAACTCAACATACCTAAAACAGAACCCATCATCCTTTTTTTCCCACCCTTCTCCAAACTCTTGTCTCCATGCCTTTACCTAGTCTGGCACCTGTATGTGGAATGTATTTTCTCCTCACTTTAGCATTTTGTACTCATATTTTCCTTCAAGGTTCAACAGTATCAGGCCTATTTTGATACACCCTGCTTTCCAGTTGGTAGTGTTCCCTACCTCTGAAATTATTTTTTATATATTTTGTTCTTTTTTTTCTACATGTTGTTTTCCCTCAACAGAATATAAGCTTCTTGAGGGCAGAACAGAGTTTGTTTAATTTTGTCTTCTTATCTCAACTATTTAGTTTATATTAGGCACTTATTAAAAGTTTGTGGAACATATGAATGAGTGAATATTACCAAATAAATTCAATAATCACCATGATTTAGTGTCATGTAAAATTTATTATCCTGTTGTCAAATGGCATCCAAAATATATGGCATAACTACTATGTAAATGTTGGTGTTTTATTGACTATCGTAGTTGAAGGATATTTTTGGATTACAGTTAATAGGAATATATATTATTTGGATATTTCCCAGTTGTATAATAAAGGGGCACATGCTGGATAATTTGCTAACATCTTCATCTCTAACATCTTAGCATGAATTGGTTTATCATATCATTTTTTCCTCTTGGGAGCAATGGACTCAGCTGAAAAACTTTTTGCCTACTTCACTTTCACATAGAATTTAAGCTAATCACTTGTGGGGCAGCTAGGTGGTGCAATGGATAGAGCATCATCCCTGAAGTAAGGAGGACCTGAGTTCAAATGTGGCCTCAGACCAAACACTTGACACTTACTAGCTATGTGATTGTGGGCAAGTCACTTAACCCCAACTGCCTAAGGAAAAAAAACCAAACATATACTAATCACTTGCGATATCCAGATCAGGGGTGGGGAACCTTTTCATGTTGGAAGAACACATTAATATTTAGGTGTAATCAAATAAGGCCTCATTCAAGAAATTTCAATTAGATATACTTGAAAACATAGGTTATTTTATAAAAATCTGCTACTTAAAATTTTTTAAAAATGAAAACTGTTAACTTTAAAGCTAACTAACCTTTTAATAACTTTATTGGGTCTGCTTTTTGTTGGAAAGCATTTGGATATTTGGTTGCAGAACGGAGGACCGCAGTTTGAGTTGATCCTCTAGATGGGTATCAGTCATTTGTGACCTTAAGGGCATCATGACTTGGGTTAGGTAGGAGAATGTAGATTCGCAGCAATAAGTGGTTGAAAAGCAAGAAAACATTTACTAGGTATGTTGCCAAAGGCATGGGTACGCTACTGCATTTTTCCATATTTCAATTGGATCTTTCTTAGCATAAAACAGTGACTTTAAAATTTTATCTCCTGAGACCTCAATCAATTCTATCTGTAGTTCTTTAGGTGCCTTGGTGATAAGTGAGGCTAAAATGCTCATTTGAGTGTGATGTCATGATTCTCAAAGTTAGTGAACTTTTTCTAATAGGTCTATAAAAAGCTGTGTGTTCTTCAAATGATTTGCATATATCATCCTGCTCATCAATGACCTTTGCTAACTGGGGAAAATGTTTATCTGACATTTCCTTTTGAAAAAAATGTTTTGAAAAAAGATGTTTTCAAAATGCTTGGATTTTTTTTTGCCACATATCGTATATAGAGTTAGTTTTACCTTGCAAAGAAATATTCAAGTTGTTTTGATTTGACATATCACACAGAAATGCAGCATTCCTATAGAAATCTTTCAGTGATTCACATTGCTAATTCTGTTCTTCATAACAACTATCTGTTCTTGCAGAGATAAAATTTTGGCTAACACCTGTCCCTGCCAATACACTTTAGAATGATTATGGCAAATCCGCATTGAATACCTCATCATTCAACTTTAGTATGTTATGAAACTGACCAATGTCATGTTGCATTTGAGTGAATATAGTTAACAACACTTATAACTTGTTGCAAAGTGTCACTTAAAATAGCTTTAGCACAGAGATTTTGTTGATGTAAGATACAATGAAAAGAAATGAGAGCATCAGGCTCTGTTAATACTTTTTTTTTTAATCTGTGCAATAAATCCTTTATGTTTTCCTGTCATGGAAGATGCACTGTTTGTACATACATTCACTAAGTTTACCAAATTCAGCCCAGCTTCATGACATTTATCTTGAAAGTTGTTGAAGATATCTGTTCCCTGTATTCTGTTTTCAAGAGTGCCCAAAGTGAGTAACTCTGTAGCAAAGAAAATCTTGTTATGACCCAAATGAAGTATAAAACCTGCACTGAGTCAGTAGTATCAGTTGATTCATCCAAAGCAATTGAATAATGTATATTTTCCTTTTGAAGTATTGCATGAAGTTCTGTTAAGTTGAAGGCTAATTCATGTTGCTGATCAGTTATGGTTCTCCTTGAAAGAGGCAGTTGTTTGTACTTTGAAATGTTGTCGAGGTCTAACCATCCTACAGTGCTTTCTTTCACAATTTCTACATCACTGAATGGCTTCCCTTTTTTCCCGAGTATGTAAACTACTTTATAAGTTGCTTCAGTGGGCATTATTTCCAGGTCTTATTGCTGCTTGAAAGAATTGTCTTTACTTTTGCTTTTCATCTTTTAATTTCTGCAGTAGAACCTTTTGCACCTGTCGCTCTAATTTAAAATATTTGTTGTCTTTATGAGTGTTATAATGCTGATGAGCATTGAATTTCTTTAATGTTGATATTGCAGTATCCCCAAACAAGCAAATCATCTCGTCTTTAGCAGAAACAAGATAATATTGCAATTCCCAGTCCTCATTAAAAAAATCTGTTTTCTACAGTCGGCGTTCTCTTGGTCTTTTTTGACACAATGGGCTGTTAAATAGAACCTAAAAAATACTGTCAGCTGTTCAACTTATTTACAGATTCCACTTCAGAAAGAAAAACAGTGTACCATTGTCAAAAGCTGATAATAGACTGACGTACTCAACCCCAATAAATTCTTGTGCAGCCTTGTGCAGTAGTGGTGCCAAGTCAGGTGGGGAAAGTTAGAACTAAATATGAGCGTAGCAGCCATCTGTTTAGGCCTTATAGCTTACTAATGTTCTAATTGTGCTGGTCAATCTGTAAGGATTATTTCATTGAAACTTATTTTATTCCTTGGTATTTTAAATACATTCGTTTTAAAAATAAAATAAAAATGTGAAAGATGAACAAAAATGTATTAGTAAAAATAAAAATTTGTTCCATAAAGTTCGGCCTTTTCAGGACCTAGAAGGCCACATGTGGCCTTAAAGCTTTAAGGTTCCCTACCCCTGATCCAGATAATACAGACTTAGAAATTTAAGTTGATATTTTATTGTAGTCATGATTTTGACTCGTCATTGCAAAATGATTTGTTATAAAAATTTTTAAACCTCTTTTTAGATGATACTTCCTCCCCACAAATCCAGGGCCTTTGGAAATTTGACGACTGCTTTTAGGGAAAACAGTCTTTTGCCTTCTTATTTGTTTTCTTCCATTAGGGAGTTTGTTAGGCAAAATGTTGCCTTTTTAGTCCATCTGTTTTGTTTTACCTTTGAAAAAAGTACAGTGGCAGCTTTGATAATTTTCCTCATAAAAGTCAGGAAGAGCTGTGAATTTATTCCTTCAAGGTTTCCTACAGAAATGCTTAGCTGTAATTATTTCATTGTAAAATTTCTTTTAGATATTAGGAATTCATTTATTTAATATGCAAATTAAGTACTGGTTTTTAAAAAACAAGTGACAGTTTTAGTGTCTTTTGAGTGTTTATTAATATTCTTAGCATTCTTAATAAGTAGATTATAGTGTAATAGAATCTTAATAAATTGACTAAGAAATCTTTTATCTTGGAAATTGCTCCTTGTTGCACGTAAAATTATAGATTGGGACTAACAGAGAATTTAGTATGATGTGGTAAATGACCATGGGAATCTACTTTAGTAATAATTAGACAATGTAGTCTTTTAAGGTTTAAATTTTTTTTTTCAATTAACAAGCATTTTTCGTCTCCTATATTCTCTATCCCCCATTGGAGGAAAAAAAAAATCCTTGTAACCAGTACACAATCAATCAAAAAAATTCTCACATTGGTAATGCCCAAGAATACATAGATAATACAGTTCTTAAAGAACAAGGCAAATTGAAATTTCATATTTGTTTGTTTCCTCATCACAATATTAAATAGTATCAGAATGTAAGTATAGTCTTAATTTGATTTTGTGAAAATTGTTGAAATGAATTTGAATGATAACTTTGTATAGAGATAAGAAATGTGATTTATTATTATTTTTGCTTTTTGGTGAGGCAGTTGGGTAAAGTGACTTGCCCAGGATCACACAAGCTAGTAAGTATCAAGTGTCTGAGGCCACATTTGAACTTGGGCCCTCCTGACTCCAAGGCCAGAGCTGTATCTATCTACTGTACTACCTAGCTGTACCCTGAAATGTAATTTATTAAAGAGCTCAATTTTATGGGTATCTTCATAAGTAAATATTGCTGTGTATTGCATATATCATAAAATGTAGTTGATATTGGTTTGGCTGAGTGGTGTTGGGTTTTTTTTGTTTTTTTTTAACTTTTTTACTAAGGAAGGTTTTGTAGAATAGGGGAAGGAATAATGTATTTGGAAATGAATATGATCTAAAAAACAAAAGGCACCAATAGAAAAAGATCATTCTTTCAAAGGGAGTTTTTGCTGGTTTTCATTAACTTTAAAATTTGGTTTTAGCATGTTTTCAGAAAAAGAGAAAACAAACTACTATAAACATGTGGCCTTTCATTGAAGAAATTTAGCCTTACAAATTTCAAATTACTCAATAATAACAAGCTTATAGAACATTTCAACTTGTTCTGTGTTATTTTGTGACTACTGGTACCTTACTGAGTAAAGTAAAGCTCAGTTATTATATAAGGTTCAAAGTTAGACATCTGAATTTAAGACCCTGGTTATCTTTTTTTACAGGAGACTTTGCAGCAGTTGATCATGATGTCTTTGCCAAATGTCTTAACCATTGGCAAAAATCCCTTTTCTGGTAAGTATTAAAATTAACTTAAAGTTGTGATTTCTTACTTTGTCATTATAAATTCAGGAATGAAAGCAGAGTAGGTCACTAGAGCATGTCTTGCAAATTATTGTTGAAAAGATATGCTGCTTCCAAATTTTTTAATGTTTGATTCTAAAATTATTATTCAGTCATAAGTTTTGACTTGTGTTTTAATCTTTTATGCAAAATGGTGAGGAGAAAGTTCTTTATGTAGTTTTCATTATTTTCTTTAAGAGAATCAATAAGCATTTTATTAAATATCTGCTATGTGCCATGTCAGTTGTTGCCATAGGTGCTGGGAATGATAAAAGTCTTGGCATTGTTAAATTTGAAATAATCAGTTTTATTCTCTGGGTACTTGAAAAATTATCAGTTTCCTCTGAAAGTGGATGATTATTGGATTCATTTGTTCTTCTAACCACTTCTCAAATTAATAAATGGATAAAATTATTATCCTCAAAGGCAGTATTATTTGACTTGTGGTTTTAACCTCTACTCTTCATTCCCCTTTTTAAAAAAATTGTCACCAAGCCATCCCTTAAAGAAGAATAATGATGTCTGATAAATAGTGTCCCAAGACTTTCAAGTTTGAACAGATGTCTTTGAGAATAGGGATATAGAGATTGATTTCATTGGTTTTAGAAATTCCCAGTTGAGGAAACTTCCTCTATCTAAGCCACTTCTCTGCAACTTATTTTCTTAAAGAATTTCCTTGAGCACTGAGAGATTAAGGACTTGTTACAGGTCACTCAACCAGTGTGTGTCAGAGGTGGGACTTCACCCTAAGTCTTCTGGTTTTGAGGCCAGCTTTCTGTCCACTACATCATATATCCACACTACCCTGAATGTGTCTGATTAAATATACATATCTGAAGACTTGGAAGATAAAAAGTTTCAAGTGGTCCTATCTTTCTTTTTCCCCTTCTCCAGAAAAGTACAGAAAAGGCAGGTATTCCATTACTTTGGTATTTTGAGGCAGCTAGATGTCTCAGTGGATGGAGTGCTGGTCCTGGAGTCAAGAAGACTCGAGTTTAAATCTGAGCTCAGATACTTACTACTTGTGTGATCCTGGGCAAGTTACTTAACCTGTTTGCCTCAGATCCACATCTGTAAAATGAACTGGAGAAGGAAATGGCAAACCACTCCATTATCTTTGCCAAAAAAACTCCGTGGAGAGTATGGTCTGTGAGGTCACAAAGAGTCAGACTAATTGAACAACAGCAGTCCCTTGGAAGAAGAGTGATAGCCTGTGCTCTGGTGATAGTCATGGGAAATGAAAAAGGAGGAAGTCTTATTAAAGATCATTTCTCTTATTTTTTCTTTTTTTAAAGATTTATTTATTTTTAGTTTTTAACATTCACTTCCATAAGATTTTGAGTTCTAAATTTTCTCCCCATCTCTTTCCTCTCCCCACCCCAAGATAGTGTGCATTCTGAATACCTCTTCACCCAGTCTGCCCTCCCTTCTATCACTCCCCCCCTTCTCTTATCCCCTTCCCCTTCTATTTTCCTGTAGGGCAGGACATATTTCTATATCCTGTTGCCTGTATATCTTATTAAGGATCATTTCTTTTGACCACTGAAGATCAAAGTAATCATTAGTAATCTTGTATAACTTCTTCCCTGTAAACATCATCTCTGTTTCCTTATCTTGTTCATTTATCAAATATATATGTTCTATATTATTTATACTTTGACTTTTAACTTTTAATTGATTATTTTTTATATTTTGATATCAAATACGTATTTTGGATATATGCATTTATATATTTTATAACAAATGTTTTGATTTTTAAAATATCTTTAGTAGTGTATTTCAATTTGGATCATTCTATCTTACTTTAATTTTTAAAGGTGTCTAGATTTTGAAACAATATGAGGTAGGTTTTTTCCCCAGTAATGATGATTCATAAAACTATACACTATAAGGGTGTTATGTTAACTGCATGAGTTAGTTTTAGGAGATTGAAAAGTATCAATAAAAACATAAAACAGTTGTATAAAACCAACATAGAATAAAATGTATTTTCAGCCAAAAAGTCATTATATTGAGGTCATACTAGGTAAAATAAATAGAATATATGCTTTCCTATGTTTCCCGCTTCCCTTGCTCGCCATCAAAAAAGATGACGAAACAAAAAGATTTCTCTTTGTTATATTAACTACCTTATTCTATAAACAGGACCATTGCATTAATTTCTTATGGTTAGAAAGATAAAACATAAAAAGTAAATATTCTTCCCAGGATATTTTACCCCTTGTTGTGAAGGTCCTGGAAGTCTTACAGAAGACTTTCTCCCACCTGAATAACCTTAAGGCTGTTATTGGACAGCCCCAATCTTGGAGATTGGAGAAACCTAGCATAGGCAATAATAGAGGGAGAAAATTAAACCAGAAAAATCGAAATAAATCAAAGGACAACAATGTAATGGCCTTCTAAATAAGTGACTGAATTTGGGAGTATGAAGACCAGAAAATTCCAAGATTTGCTTCTAAGAAGTGAGTCTTAAATCTACATTTTTTGTCCTTATGTGGTGGGCAATTCTTTATCTTTATAATTCATAGTAAGTCTGCTGATGTAAAGAGTTGACTTTATGAACAAGACGAAAATGAGAAATATCAGAGCTACAGCAAAGATGATGATACTTCCAGTCATTTTCATGAGTCAAGCGTCATGTGGAGTAGGTTAGCTAAGAGGTTATTATCCTCTTGAATGTAACCTGACCTACCAGCCAAGACCTCCTCTTCCCCAAGACTCCCATGGAGGGGATATCCTATCTTTGACCTATTAAGAGGCCTCTTAAATCCTGCTTCCTTCTTCCATGTGGAAAGGATAGGCACATTCACCACTTTCCAACATCCCTTTGGCTCTTTGGATATTAAACACACATATGAACGCATGCACTTGTGCACGCGCGCGCGTGCACACACACACACACACACACACACACCCCCACCCCACACACACACACCCCCACCCCTCTCCCTTCCCTCACACTGTCATTGACAGTTTGGTGCTGTAGGCCAGAGTGTCATCCTGGCGAGATCATAAACTTGCCACACAGTATATAGCTCAGGAACTCCAAAGTATTCTGCTTCATTGAACCAAGACTAAGTTCCTTCTTCATGTCTTCCTGTCTTTTCCAATGCAGAAAATTGCTTCTGCTGCTAGTTGGCCCCCACTGAGAGACCCAGGAGCTCCTGACATCTCAGACTCACAAGGCTGCCACTAAGGCTAGGAGTGCTAGCTCAGGATTGCTCACCTGTGCTCAGGGAAAGAGACACAATGAAAAAGCTAAAAGAAACAGAACCAGAACTACTCTATACCGTTGTATGTGCTCTGCCTGCCATGTGCAAGAAGTAGCCATTTCTGCTAAGAGAAGGGAAGGTATCTGAGGCTTGAGTCTCTATGATCCCATACAGAGTAAACCAGGGTTGGGATTTGGCAAAGTGTAATTGACAGTAGGTAATAGAGTAACGGATTTGAAGATATAGGATAATGTAGAGTTGAATTGGTTTACCAAGGGATTAATATTAGAAAAGGAGAAGAGTATAGCCAGTGCCTGGAAAAGAACTTGCAGGTGGAGTGTCTGCAAATCACCCTAAGAACAAAGAATAGGCTTGGGAGTTAGAAGGCCAAGGGAAAGATGGAATGACAACTATTATCAGATAAAGGATATTTTTTTTCAGAATTTCTCACCATAGAAGTAGAACATTTGTGAGGTGATTGCAATATCAAGAATATGACCAAATGTAAGTATAGCTAAAGTGGGATAGAGGACTAAGGTCATAGAGACTAAGTGGATTGACGAACTCGTAAGTTAGGGTATTTGAAAGAACATTAATGTGTATGTTGAAGTACCGAATTAATAGAGCAGGAATTGAGGTGGAGAAAAGGTACTCAGCCAGTCACTGAACTCATTGAAGAAGGAGGAAGTTTGTAGAATTTCTGGGAGTGGTAGGTAACAACCATTATGATTTGTGTGACTGATACATTTGGGTAGAGAAAACTTCAAAGGAGAAGTTTCTGAGTGATATTAAAGAGAAAATCTAGAAATAGCAATAGAGACTAAGGATTATTGCTCTGGTACAACCAAAGTGACAGAAAAGTGTGATCAGTTACTGGAAAGGATTCTGAGGGAAGCCTAGTAACAATGAAAGACCCAAGATAGGGTGGGAAAGGAGAATAGATTTAAGATAAAAGGAAGTTTGTTAATTATGGAGCAGGAGTTCTGGAGGGCACACTGGAAGGAGAGAGAAGAAAGTTGAGGGGGTGCAGTTAAAGTAGATAAGAATGAAGGAGAAAATAGTGGGGGTAGAGGAACAGTGTTCATTGGCAGTTGGGGGTTCAGTTGGTACTTCAACATACACATTAATGTTCTTTCAAATACCCTAACTTACGAGTTCGTCAATCCACTTAGTCCCTATGACCTTAGTCCTCTATCCCACTTCAGCTATACTTACATTTAGTCATATTCTTGATATTGCAATCACCTCACAAATGTTCTACTTCTATGGTGAGAAATTCTGAAAAAAAAAATATCCTTTATCTGATAATAGTTGTCATTCCATCTTTCCCTTGGCCTTCTAACTCCCAAGCCTATTCTTTGTTCTTAGGGTGATTTGCAAACACTCTACCTGCAAGTTCCTCCACTGGTGTGGAGAAAAGCATAATGGTATGGGAGTATATTAACCATTGCAGAGGCAGACAGAGTATCAATGGATAGAAACAGGTTTGATGTGAAAAGCAGGCAATTAGATTCTTCAAAGTCTTTATATCCCTAGTGTCTTATAATATTAAGCACTTAATAAATGTTTAAAATTATATCTATATAGATTTTCAAGTAACATTGTATGTATGTAGCATTGTGTGCAGAATATATGTTTACTTGTTATACTGACTGTTATTGCATGTCTCCTTGACCCTAAATAAAAGATCAAATTGACATTATAGAAAAGAAAAAAGGTAGGGGACAATACTAGTACAACACTATACATTGTCAAATGCATTCATTTTACCTGTTTTTCTTTGTCACTTGTTTTTCTTTGTTTAATCTGGTGAGGCCAAGGGGTTGAAATAAATTTGGTTTAAATACACAAGGCATTGGTAAGCTTATTTTTAAAATGATGAATTCTTGAATTAACTTAACATTAAATTGATTTGAGCCATGGAAGAAGCTAAGCGTTTTAATAGAATTAAATCAAGAGGAATGCATTCCAGGGTTATAGGATAGCTTATGTCTTAGAGATGAGAGTTGTCATGTGGAGATCTGGGAACAGTTAGTAGACCAGTTTGGCTAGAATGTAGAGTGTGAAGTGGGGTAATATGAAATGTCCTGAAGGTAGGTAGGAATCATTTGGGGGGGGCAGTGTTTAAATACCAACTGGAGGAAATAGTATTCATCTTAGAGGCAATTGAGAGCCCTTCTAAGATTTTTCAATAAGGGAGTGACATATAATGAGTTCTGTGTTGAATGGATATTAATTAGGCAGCTATGTGGTGTATTGAAAAGAAAGAGGAAGGAGAGTGACTTGAAGAAAGACCATTTAAGAGGCTATTACAACAGTCCACCTTTGAGGGCTTGAACTAGGCATAATGACTTTGTGATAGGAGAGAAGGGATAGATGTGAAAATTGTTGAGGTGGAATGGACAAGTGTAGTAATCCTATTCAGTAATTTCCAGTGGCTCACACTCACAGCTATTTGATGTACAGAGCACTTTACAATCTTCCCTCCTCTCCTTTCTATTCACCACCACAAACTGTACTTTTCATTCCAGTGACAGTGACAGTGAAAGCTGCCTTTTCACTAACTACTCCTCATGTCTAGAATTCTCTTTTCTCCTTATCTCCACTTACTGGATTCCTTCACATCCCACCTAAAGTACTACCTTTTGCAAGCAGTCTTTCTCAGTTCTACTTAATGCCAGTGCTTTCCCTCTGTTGATTACTTCCAGCATATGCTGTATATCAGTTGTTTGTATGTAGTTCTTTGCATGCAGCCTGCCCCATTGGACAGTGGACACTTTGTGATCAGGGTCAGTCTTTTGCCTTTCATTATACCCCAGCACTTAGCACAGTGCCTAGCACGTGGTAGGTGCTTAATAAATGCGTATCAACTATTTGACTAATTAGCATTTACACTGCTTAATATTATATGAAGTTTGTGAGAAGATAAAAAGATAAGAATGAATCTGAGTTTGTGAATCTTGGTGAGTGCAGTGACAGTGGTGCCCTCAAAAAAAAATAGGGTAATTTGGAGGAGTGATGTGTTTGCAAATGCACTGATTTTTGCATATAGGATTAGGTATAAAAATGAGAATGAAAGTAAATATAATCTAAACTTTAAAAATACATTGAACATTGAAAGGGAACACGAATAGAGAAAGAGCTTCACAATTAAAATGCTGTTCTGCATTTAATTTATCCTTGTATTCTGACTTTGATCTTTAAAATAAAGAAGACAGATGTGGAAGATTAGAGAAGAAAGCCAGTCTGTTGGAGAAGGCAGAATGGGATGAAAAAGATGGGATAGAGATCAAGAAGGCATGTGAAGGGATATTGTCTTTGGCAAGGAGAAGGGCCACTCTACTAATGAGACAGGTGAAGGTGGAGATAATGGGGGAAAGCAACTGATTAATTCTTTAAAGGCTGTACTCAGGTTCCATCTCCTCCATGACCATGGGGTGGTAGATAACAACCATTATGATTTGCATGAGTGATATTAAAGAGAAAATCTACAAGTGGCAATAGAGACTAAGGATTATTGCCCTGGTACAAACAATGTAATAGAAAAGTTTGACCAGTACTGGAAAGGATTCTTAGGGAAGCCTAGTAACAATGAAAGACCCAAGATAGAGCGGGAAAGGAGAATAGATTTAAGATAAAACAAAATTTGTTAATTATTCTCTCTGACCAACATTTTCCCCATGAAAGTGATCTTTTCCCTCTCAAATTTTCCTGAGATATTTTGTTTACATTTCTTCTTTGCTTTTCTTATAGTCTTAACTTTTGTCATACTTAAGTATTCCTGCTGGTAGAATGCAAGTTTCTTGAGGGTAGGGTTGGTTTTTTTTTCCCATCACATGGCCATTGTTTTAAGACAATACTGTATATATAGTATGTGTTTAATAAATGCTTGTCGAATTTAATTGAATCATTATTGATGCAAGTCTGCATCTTTCTTTAGCCTGTAATGTTAACGTAGACAATCTTCAAATTGTCTTAAGTTGCTGTACTGTGCTGTTGTGTGCTGCTGTCTTCTCCATCTGCTATTAGCCTCTCATTTCTCATTATCAGTGTGTTCTTCTGCCGTGGTCTGCCATTTAAACACAGATGCCTGGTGATTGCCTTAGTGTGATGATTTCTTTCTTAGCAAAATGCTAAGGAAGGACTAGGGAGAGCTGTTTGTTACTGAGAGATCTTTTTTTCCTTGACTATATTCATGGTTCCATTCTGGATGAATCTTCTGGAAATCTGACTCCACTCCACCTCACCTCTGTTCTCATAAGTGAGATGTTATTGTTCTTAAATCTGCATTCAGTTAATAAGCATCGCTTAACTATACAGAACTGAAAAAGGCACAATCTTTTAAAAATTTATTTTTAACATTCATTTTGAAAAATTTGAATTCCAAATTCCCTCTCTCTCTGCAGTCCCTTCCCTATCCGTTGAAAAGGCAAGCAATATCATACCCATTAGACATGTGAAGTCATGTAAAACATATTTCTACATTAGCCATGTTGCAAAAAAAGGCAAGAAAAATTTAAAAAAGAAACAGGATACTTCAATCTGCATTCATTAGTTTTCTCTGGAGGTGGATAGCATTTTTTATTATGAATCCTTTAGAATTGTCTTGTATTGATCAGAGTAGCTAAGTCTTTCATTGTTGATCCTCACTACAGTATTGTTGTTACTGTGTGCGATGTCTTCCTGTTTCACTTTGCATCAGTTCGTGTAAGTCTTGCCCAGGTTTTTCTGAAATCATTCTCCTAGTCTTTTCTTATATCACAATAGTATCACAATCACATATCACAACTTGTTCAGCCACTTCCCAATTAATGGGTATTCCCTCAATTTCCAATTCTTTGCCATCGCAAAGAGAGTTGATATAATTATTTTTGAACATATAAGTCCTTTTCCCTTTTCTTTGATCTCTTTGGGTACAGGAGTAGTATTGCTGGCTCAAAGGGCATGCACAGTTTTTTTTAGCCCTTTGGGCATAGTTCCAAATTACTCTCTGGAATAGTGGGATCAGTTCATAATACCTTCACGTCAGCTCACCATCAACAAATAAGGGGGTTGGAATAAATGACCTCTTAGATCCCTTTCATCTAGAAATCCTAGGATTCCCTCAGCATTTCTTTGCCTTAGATTGTCCTTTAATGCCTTTATTTAAAGTTCACAAAAGATCTTTTATTTTTATTTTTTTAATTATTTTAAAAAATTTAAAAAAATTTTTATTTTATTTTTTTAAATGTGAATTCTCATGAAGTCTTTTTCTAAAAATTTTTTTTATTTTAGGCAATTGGGGTTAAGTGACTTGCCCAGGGTCACACAGCTAGTGTCAGGTGTTTGGTCTGAGGCTGGATTTGAACTCCGGTCCTCCTGACTTCAGGGCCAGTGTGCTATCCATTGCACCACGTAGCTGCCCCACACAAAAGATCTTTTAAAGGGAAAATGTTGCATGGGACAGAGGAAAGGCAATAGAAGCCTGGAAATTTCCCTCAATATGCGAATTATAATCTGGATCTGGAAATTATCTAGAAGTAAATCTGATTTAAAATGTGAAAATGCTTTACTGTGTCTCATAACATCTTTTTCTGTTTTAGAACAAGGTACAGAAGAAATTAAAAAGCTGCTGTTACTTTTACTTGGTTGTGCTGTTCAGGTGAGTTAAAAATATTTTTTAATGTTTTCATTTTGGTAAATAAGTATTTCTAGTTAGTCTTGTCCCCAAAACCAATTTTTAAAAAAATTATGATTTTTCAATCTCCAAATGATGTAAGTTTGGACAATTTTTTGGATGATTACTTTTAGAAATATATTTTTAATGTATAATTACATGTATATCAAATACTTGGAAAAAAATCTCTTTTCATTTGTGTCATTCTGCTTATTATGCAGATCATACCATGGTGAAGTATCATGGTTTAGTGAAGAGAGCTGTGGATCTAATAGTCAAGAAGATCTGCATTCGCATCTGACTTCACATGCTTATTAGTTGTGATTTTGAGCAAGTTACTTACTTTAGATTTCTCATCCACAAAATGTGTATAAGAGCACCTACTTCATAAGGCTCATCTATGTATGAAGTGCTTTGTAAACTTCTATATAAATCTCAGCTTGTATCATCACCATAATCATTGTCATGGTTTAGTACACAGCTTCATGAGTTGCTATTGCCAAAATAATTAATAGCTGGTAACCAGCATTCTGGTGCAAATTTAGCTAATCTTATTATCAGACAGCAAATATACAAACTGATTTGTTAGGACTTGCCAGGGCTTATGCCAGAGATTATGTTCAGATTTCAGTTAATATGCGCTTTGGTAAAGGGAAGAGAGTAAGCATTTATATAATACCTACTGTGAGCTAGGCACTGTGCTAAGTGTTTTACAGATATTATCTCATTTGAACAACCTTGCAAGGTAAGTGCTATTATTATTATTCCCATTTTACAGTTGAGAAAATTTGACCAGAGTCACATAACTAGTAAGGGTCTGAAGCCAGATTTGAACTCATCTTCCTGATTCCAAGGCTATACTTTATGCTCTTTACCTTGCCACCTAGCTGCCAGAGTTGATCATTTATACTAGTCCCAAGTTCCTGTACCAGTTGAAATTTTGTCAAAAAACTGAAATGACAATAGTAACGATTTAAATTATAGTCTAGATGGCTTTTTGCTATTATAGATTCCATGTACATATATTATAAAGTGTGGGTACTAGTAGTCTGGTAGTTCTTATAGAATCAATAATGCCTGTATTTTTAAAAATTAATTTTTTTTTCAGTTAATATGTTTTTCTGCCATCTCCTCCCAAGTTAAATAGTTCGCTGGGGGAGCAACTTTGCATCACTTTATACAAATTCCTTCTCTATAAGTTCTTCTCAGGTTTATCTGAATCTATCTGTTTTGTCATTTTTTTTTGTCCTGCAGTAATGTTCCATTTCATTCATCTACCATAATTTGTTTAATTGATGGACATACTACTCTGTTTCTTTTTTACAATAAAAAAATGGTATTGTAAATATTTTTTCCACCTGAGTCCTTTTCATTCTTCAATATCTCTATGGTATAGGCATAGTAGTAATATTGATGGGGCAAATCATATGCATGGGTGATAAATTTACATTTATCTAATTATTAGTATTTCTTTCTTATAGGTGATAGCCTAGACTTCTTCCTTTGATAACTGCCTGTTCAAATCATTTGATTTTATCTCTTGGAGAAGGCTGTTATTATCAACTATTTTAATTCAGGTCCTTATATATTTTGGATAGCAGAGAAATTTGCTGAAAAATTTTCTTCCCCATTGTCTCCTTCCTTTCTAATTTAACTGCATTACTTTTGTTTATGCAAAATTTCACAATTTTGTATATTCAATACTGCCTATCGTCTGTGGTCCTTTCTATCCCTTTTCTGGACATGAACTCTATCTACAGGTTTGAAAAATATTTTCTTCCTTGCTCCTTTGATTTGCTTCATAATGTGATTTTTTAATATTTTTGTCATGAAGTTTAGTGTGGCATATAGTGTGAAATCTTTGTTTAAGCCTAGTTTCTTTCAAGATAGTTGCTTTTTTATTTTCCTAGCATTTTTGTTAGTCTTCACCCAAGTAGTTGGGATCTTTAAGTATATATGTTCCTTACATATGTTGTATAATCTGTTCCACTGGTAGACTTTTCTATTTTTTGCATAGTACTAAATAGTTTTGATTATTACTACTTAGTAGTATTGCTTTTAATCTGATACTGTTGAGCTCCTTTCCTTTCTTTGTGGGGGTGGGGGGTAGGGGGAGTGCGCGAGGCAGGTGGGGTTAAGTGACTTGCCCAGGGTCAAACAGCTAGTAAGTTTCAAGTTCCTGGTCTGAGACTGGATTTAAACTCAGTTCCTCCTGACTCCAGGGCCAGTGCTCTATATTTTCTTTTTTAAAAAAATGGAACAATTAATAATATAGTAAATCTATCTAATTCAGTCTACTAAATTCCTACAGATGGAATTTCTGGTTTTGCAAAATTAGATTTGCTGATAAACCAGATTTTTTAGGTTGATCTTGCTGTATTTAGGAAGCCATAAAAATACCTGGATTGGTATCATTTTTATACTCTTAGAATATCATAGATGTGTACATAATGTATGAATTTCTTGGGACAAGACATTATTTTGGCAGTTTCATTTTATGACAGCAGTCGTCTTGTGTTCTTTGCTGACTCAGAACATTTTACTTTGAAACAGAATGGATAATTCTGTGGTTTTAAGAATGACATGTTTCCAAGGAAAATATACAAAAGTTGCACCTCTCAGAGAGCATACTTCAATAACTATTAGAGATATTGCAGTGAGTATTGGTGTGGGAAAGTTACATGCTTCAAGTCAACAATAAAACAGGATTAGTCATACTCAAGTACAATGGAATGTGTGGTTGAAAATGGGGAAAAAAAATCAAGAACCGACAAACAGCTGCTACAAAACAGCCTAATTAGTCCTCAGAAAACAAAATCCTTCAGACATGCATGGCAGCTAGAGAAGTTGTTACCATTTCTCCTCTGGTGTATTGTAGACTTGTTATTGGAATGACATCAATAAGACCAATTTAGAAAAAAAAACTACTAAGAAGAAAAAATGATATGAATAAAAAGTATTTTTATGGTCAAGATAGTCTAAAGACTAAAGTGCTGAAGATTAGAAAAATGCAGTTTTTAGTTCACTTTCATTCAGACTATTCCTAGACCATTTTCAGGAAAAGCCTCTCTGAGCCTATAACATCTGGACATCTTCAGACTGTAAAACTTCCGTGCTAAAAAGTATTTGGGAACTTCTTCATTCTGTAGGCCTGAAAGTCTTGTCCCATTTAAGGGAATGATGAGTTCTGATAAATATGTTGTGTTACTTAGAAGCAGAATTATAGAAATAGCCAAATTGAGATGGAATATTGCAACGTAATCTTGTATCATGCAACACAAAGATTAAGAAGCATATCTAAGATATTAAGATCAACATGCTTCTGTGGCCTAGGAACTTGCCTGATTTAAATTCTGCTGGGAGACTATACTTGAAAAAAGTGGACTGTTCATCAAAGATATATTTAACATATAATAGAATAAAGGTGTGATTTCACAATATGAGTATGCAGTATGTGTCAGTCTTATGAACTCGGTGCCAAATTCTATCAAACAAGCAAAGGACATATTGCAAAGCAAAAGTTATATAAGATGTAAAAAGTGGTAAGGTTTATTGTATGTCAGTCAATTTAATTATTACTGATAGGATCTTATAAGTTATCTTTTTTTGTTGTTAGTTTGTTTCAGTCCTGTCCAACTCTTTGTGACTCCATTTGGGGTTTTCTTGACAAAGATACTGGAGTGGTTTGCCATTTCCTTTTTCAGTTCATTTTATAGATGAGGAGACTGAGGCAAACAGGATTAAGTGACTTGTCCAGGGTCACACACCTAGGAAGTGTCTGAGACCAGATTTGGACTTAGCTTTTCCTGATTCCAGGCCTGACACTCTATCCACTTTACCACCTAGCTACTCAAGAGGTTATCTAGTTCAGATAATAAATGAATAAATGAGCAAGTATTTATTAAGTGTTTACTGTGTGCCAGCCATTATGCTAATAAGCATAGAGGTTACAAAAACAAAAGCAGGATTCTGTGCCTGCCCATAAGGAGCTTACATTTCAGTAGGAGGAGACAACATATAATGGATTGATGTCTAGACAAAGATATCTTGGTCTGGAAGATAGCTGGAATGGTTAATGGAATGTAGGGCAGTTAATGGAATATAGTAATGTGGAACCAATAATAGTGAGATTGCATTTCCCAAATCAAGAGATGGAAAGAGAATAGGAGGAAGATGTATTTGCAGGCGCAGGATGAAAAATGACTGGAATGAAAAAGCATAATTGGATCTGGAACCAGCTTGGTGTAAGAGGCTCTCACCAATCAGGAAAACCAAGGGCCCCCTTATGTAATTATAGCCTCTGTACTCCCAGGCTACTCCTCCAAATTTGTAGTTAAACTAGAAGGTTGAGTCCTCAGAGGCACAACTGCTGCCTCTGGTTCTTTGGGTAACCTTGAGGAGATATACCATCCAACACAGTAACTCACAAGTGTTCACTCTTACACTTCACTTTAATAATCAGCCAGTGGTTTTAGCTCCTTAGCAAAGGCACTTAGTCAAATGCACAGTAAGAATAATAGTTAAAAGTGTTCCCCCTGGAATACCTGGGCTATCTATCCCAAAAATATACTTGGCATCCATAGTGTGGGATAATGGGCATAAAGTACCAGGGTAGTGAGCCACATGTGTGTGTATATGTAGTTGGTCCTTTCTGTTCCTGGAGAGTTCTTTAAAAATTCATTGCAAGGTATGGTATTGTAGGCCAGAATGGCTCCATGGCATGACATCTCTGCAAGATTAGTTTAATATGCTAGATTTCCTAGGCTGGCAGCTATAGTCTCTACTACTTCCAGCCTCTGATTTGGATGACAGTTACTGATGACAGTTACTGTACTGGATGCTACTGTTCTTTCAGAAAGGAAAGAGAGTCTTGCCTTGGGGTTTTCATCTCTAGGGTTCTGCCTTAGGTCCTTGATTCTGAGGTTTGTTACCTCTCAGGCAAGAAGTGGGAGAGTTATAGCCTATCCTTTTCACGTGCAGTTGAGTTACTCAGAGGACCTCATCTGCAAGTGGTGTGGAATACCTCAGATACTTATGTCTCATTGTTTTTGTCTTGGCCTTTATGTTCTACAACTTGCTAACGTATAAAAGGGGCACATCATACATAAGGATAAAGAACCAAGGCCCAGCAAGCGCTTAGGTGATTTGATTTAGGCCCCACTGATTGGTAGCCAAGCTTCCTTTTTACTGAGGTACCATGACTCTAAATTCATTATTCTTTCCAGGATTAGATGTCTGTAATTCACTGAGTATACATATGTACCCTTGTGTAAATTCTTAATATTTACCTTCAGAAAGACTAAGTGTAGGCAAAGAGGAAACAGAATTACCACTTTTTGCAGAGGAAAGGAGGAAAGTCAACTAAAAAACTAACTGAAACAATTAACAACTTTAGCAAAACTGCAGGATATAAAATTAAACGGATGTAAATCATCTGCATTTCTGTATATTACCAAAAAATCCATCAAGAAGAGCTAGAAAAAGAAATTCCATTTAAAATAACTACATATAGTATAAAATATTTGGGAGTCTACCCACCAACACACAAATAGGAACTGTGTCAGTCCATCTTTAAACATTTATTAAGTCCTGCTGTGTGCCAGGTATTGTGCTGAGCAGTGAGGATATAAAAAACAGTAAAAGCAACTCTTTGCTTTCCAGGAGCCCACAGTCTAGTGAAGAAGACAACACGTAAACAATGGAGTACAAACAAATTATATACAAGATAAATTGAAATAATCAAGAGGGAAGAAACTACAGTTGAAAGGGATTAGGAAGGGTTTCGTGGAGAAGCTAGGATTTTAGCTGCAACCTAGGAGAGATCAGGGAATTCGGGAGTTGGAGATGAGGAAGGAGAACATTCTGTACATGGGAGACATTCAGTGAAATTGTCAAGAGCTGGGAGATGGAGTTTTGGCAAGGATGCCAGTGTCATTGGATCACAGATGATGGGAAGTAGGGAGTGAGGGAAAAGTAAGGAATAAGAAAACTGGAAAGGTTGAGGCTGTGTAGGCCTCAAAACACAGGATTTTATAGAGGATTTTATATTTGATTCTGGAGATGATAGGGAGCCACTACAGTTTATTGAGCAAAGGGGTGATACAGCCAGATCTGTGTTTTAGGAAGATCACTTGAACAGAGGAATGGAGGATGGACAAGAGGCTTGTGTCAGGGAGACCCACCAGTAGGTTATTATAGTTGCATCACGTTTGTCTAATAAAGGTCTCATTTCTGAAATATGATTCAAATTTATAAGAATAAAAGCCATTGCCCAAATAAATGGTCCAAGAATATGAACAGGCAGTTTTCATAAGAAATCCAAGCTATCGATAACCATATAAAAAAATGTTCTAAGGCACTAATCATTAGAGAAATGCAAATTTAAAAAAAATACGTTCTTATTGGTATTTTCTTTTTATTACATTGCCATACTATTTGCTCCCAGAGAGACATCCCATATGACAAATAATATTTTTTAGAGAGGAAAAAGAAAGCATAACTGATCAGTACATTGAAAATATCTGAAGACATGTGTTAACACCTTTGGACCTTCAGCTTCCACAAGGGAGTAGGTTAGGAATGTCTTGGAGAAATGCTCACTAAAAAAAACAACAAAACAACTCTGAGGTACCACTTCACACCCATCAGATTGGCACAGATGGCAGGGAAAATGCAGAATGCTGAAAGGGCTGTGGAAAAACAGGTACATTGTTGGTAGAACTATGATCTAGTCCAGTTATTCTGGAAAGCAGTTTTGAACTATGTCCCCCAAAACTATTAAACTATGCATACTGTATGACCCAACAATACTGCTACTAGTTCTGCACCCCCATAGAGATCAAAAAAAGAGGAAAAGGAAGGACCCACGTATAAAAATTTTCTTAGCTGTTTTTTCACTAACAAAGAATAAGAAAGCTCTGTGGTGTCCATCAGTTGGGGAGTGACCAATTAATACAGTTATAGTATGTATTATAATGTGGCAAATGATGGAGAGAAGCATAGGAATTCTTGTACGAACTGATGCAAAGTGAAGTGAACATGACCAGTGCAGGAATTTTTTTTTTCTGTAACTACACATGTTTATAATGACTTTAGTTTTCCTTTCAGGGTGAGCAAAGGAGGAGGCATGAGAAAAGGAATATGGGCTTTAAAATAAAGTTGAATTTTAAAATATTTACCTTCAGTAATTTATTGGTGTTACAAAATAAGGTAGTGTTAATTTTGTTAACTATGTTAATGTTAAACTATGCCACAAGTAGGTATGTGATTTCTTTCTGATATGGATAAAATATGGTAACTTAAAATATTACTGTGGATTACAGGCCTGAAGTTAAAGATTTTTTAAAAAAATTCTGAGAAGAAAAGCTACATTGTTGGTTATAACCAGTGACTGAAAGTCAGGCATCTTGGCTCTGTTCCGAGCTCTGCCACTGACTCACTGTGTATTTTTTGGCAAGTAATTTCTCCGCTCTGAAACAAGTTCTTGTGTCTCTACTTTTCTGTTTGCAAAGTTAGGATAATAATATTATACTGACCTCACCAGAAGGGTTGTGTAAAGACTGCCCACTTTGGAATTTTCCTAATGAAAGTTGTGTGTGTTTTCTGTTTTTTTTTCCCTCAATATATTTTTATACCCTGTACTTTTATAAAGTACTACATTTCTAAATGCTTCTTTATTAGGTAAGTATACCAAACGATTCATCAATATTCAGTGAGACAAATCTCACACTACCACTCCAAATTAAATCATCTTGCTGGTGCTTAGTTTATAATGACATTGAAGAATACTTTAAAGGTATGAACATTTATTCATTTATTTTAGTGTCAGAAGAAAGAAGAATTCATTGAACGAATCCAAGGTTTAGATTTTGACACAAAAGCAGCAGTTGCCGCACACATTCAACAGGTAATTAGCTTAGTTTTGTATTTCTTCACGCAGTTTATTTTGTTGAATGACTGTCATTCATTTTTAACATGAAGTTTGTAGAACCTTCTTGACTTTTGGGAAAAATCATAATTGATTATCTTAGTTAGCAAGGTTAAAGTATGTGTATGATACATATGTTTTTCAGTATGGTGAGTACTAAAAGTCATGAAGAGATTGGAAAAGAATCTATATTTTTGAAGAGCATGAAAAATGAAAAAAAAAATTTGCTCACAGCAACGTTACCCATGATGGAGTGCTTCTGATTTTAAGAACTTCATAGCATTAGAAAGATAATTAATATATGTGGTATACCCTTGAATCCTACTTGCTTGTCTTCTTTTTTGACTGCTCTTTTGATAGTAAGTTACAGCTTTTATTATACACTCAGATTTAAATATTTACTAAGATATCAGTGATTATTGAAAATGTTCTATAAATCATATCAAGTTGGCACAGCCAAGCAAACATAAAGGAAATATTTACCAATAGGACATATAGTTTCTAGACACTGTAATATTTACTTTTGATGATACTATTTTTTACAAGAGTGCTGAGTTCTGTGGATAGTAATTAATTAAGAAAGTTAAAGAAAAATTTAAAAAATTAAAGAAATTGGTATTTTGAGAGATACATCAGTTGATCAATACATTATTCTCTTCAACTTAACTACAGGAAAAGAAAAAATTTAATATGGTATAGATTAAACTACTTACAAACATAACAGAGAAAAATATGGTACAGAGAAAAATATGGTACAGCTAAGAAAATAGGTTAAACACTGTAGTTGAACATCCAAGATTAAAAACAGCAAAGAATAATTTTCTCAACACTTCCAAAGTAGAGTTGCTATGGAAAAGTGTAAGGTCACAGGTATACTTGTGAACAATTTATAAATAGCTTTTGGAAGTCAGTTTCAACAAATTCATCATGTACTTTTCAGATTACATTGAAACCTAACACAATAATGCCTTGTATTTCAGTGTATTTCACAAATTAAAATTCAACTATTTGTCCATAATGTTAAAAGCACTAATGCTGATTTCTGTAATTTTAATAAGAATTATGACTTCTCTTTGATTTTAAAAAGTATCTGAAATAACAATATAAACACTGGTGTCGTTACATAATGTTTATTTTGAATTATAGGCATTTTCACTAATTTCCATTTCAATACTGCTTATTTAGTGCTACTTTCACTTTTTGCTGCCATTACCCGCTAATTCAGTAATTTCTGGTAATATCTAAATATATGAAAATAAAAGTATGAACAATATAGCCATGGTACATATTTTCTGTATATCAATTCTAAATTAGATAGCACTTGTTCACACAAATCTTTAGTACCAGCCAGTCTTGCTTTAATGTGCTCCATGTTTGCTTTTAACTCAATTGAGTTTTTTTAGGCTTTAAGTTGAATAGCTTCTCAGCTACCAGGTATTTGTATTTGTTTTACAAATGAAGATACACACTTAACAACTTCATGTCAGTAATGTTTGGACTTTATTTTCTTTTTCTTTTTCTTTTTTTTCTTTTCTTTTTTTTTTTTTTTTGGTGAGGCAGTGGGGTTAAGTGACTTGCCCAGGGTCACACAGCTAGTGTCAAGTGTCTGGGCTGAGATCGGATTTGAACTCAGGCCCTCCTGACTCCAGGGCCAGTGCTTTATCCACTGCGCCACCTAGCTGCCCCAGTGTTCAGATTTTAAATGCTTTTAATATGAGAATAACATTCAGCATTTATCTGGTTGCTAACCCGTTATTTTCATCAACACTATTTTTCCTACCTGCCTGACATAATAAGTATAGTTCATGAGATTATTGAGTAATTGCTTTTCAGCATTTCCACTGCTATTTTGAAATTTTTGTCATAATTTTGTCTTAACCCCTGACTATTTTATATGATACTGCCATCCATATTTTTGTAATTTAAAATACATGTTTAGTATAAAGACTTACCTCATAGTGAATAATTTGAGCAGTGCCACCTGTTAAGGATGGTGAGTGATTATTTTCTGAAAACTGCTGAAGTGCATCCTAAAATTTCTGAGGCATCTCAAATCTTAACTTCTCTACCTTCAGTAGTACTGAAAGCAAGAAAATAGTTTATACTGTGTCTACTTTTGGGGGAAAATGTGTTCTAAATTTGAACCATTGTACTAAAGAGGAGACAGTTTTTTAAAGATACTGAGCATTCCACACCTACCTGGTCTATTACTTATTGATGAATAATTATAAAAGCAACTCCTAAATTTCTTATCCATGTGATAATATGGTGTATATGTATATAAAAGTAACAGTTAAAATTAGTATACATTTTCCAGAAAATGTAAAAATCATGTATTCCTTTATAATGATATTGTCCTAAGAATTGTGAAAAGGAAAGATGGTAAATTTTGCTGTCAGAACTGAACTCTAGGGGCAGCTAGGTGGTGGAGTAGATAGATCACTGGCCTTGGAGTCAGGAGGACCTGAGTTCAAATTTGGCCTCAGACATATAACACTCACTAGCTGTGTGACTCTGGGCAAGTCTCTTAACCCTAATGGCCTCACCAAAAATAAAAAATAAAAAGAAGAAAGAAAGAAAGAAAGAAAGAAAGAAAGAAGAAAGAAAGAAAGAAAGAAAGCTAGCTGAATTCTAAAATACCAGGTCATTAGGTCTTTGTGTTTTACCATCCTGTATACCTCCTATTTTCATTTTCCCAAAGTGAAACTGGTTGATGTTATAGATTTTGATTAAGCTTTCATTTTTTAAAAATGCAAGTGAGGAGAAACATCATGTCCACTAGGACAGGTCCTGGCCTCTGACTCAGGGAAATCTGGGTTCTAGTCCCATCTTTGATATACTAGCTTTGCGATCCTAACATGAATGAAACGAATGACTGACTGAATGAAAAAGCATTTAATAAGTGGTCACTGTGTGGAAAGCATTGTGCTAAGTGTGCTGGATTTTGAATTCACAAATAGGCAAGACAGCCCCTATTCTCAAATAGTTCATACTGACCTCTCAATTACTCCCAAGTTTCTAGGACTTCCAAGTTGCAGGAGCCAATGAACATTTCTTGAAGTTTCCTCATCAGGAATTCCCTATACCAAGGAAATCTCTGATTCAAAAAAAATTAAATTTAAATTTAAATGCTGATATGTTACATAAGTTCTTTAGAGTTCTTTATGCTCTTCATAAAAGTCTAGCTTTTTAGGGGCAGCTAGGTGACACAGTGGGTAGAGTACCAGCCCTGAGGTCAGGAGGGATCTGAGTTCACATCTGGCCTCCAACCAAACACTTGACACTTACTAGCTGTGTGACCCTGGGCAAGTCACTTAATCCTAATTGCCCCCCCCCAAAAAAAGTTTAGCTTTTCAAATATAATAACATAATTTATTGTAGAAGATTTGCAGCTTTTTACTTTTGAATATTAGTGTGATCACCTTCAACAGAGATGTTATGAAGAGATGTTATGAATGTAATTTGTAAAGTAAATCCTTAAAAATTTATTTTAAAAACATACTCAGTTGAAATCATCTCTTTATAGTGACTTTTTGACGTGTGCATTTCAAATATATTCAGGTCCACTAGATTTGCTAATTTTATTTTTATTAGATTAGTTGTTTGATAATTGAGCTAATACTGTAGCAAAATTAAATTGATTCTTATGTATTAGCTATTTTATTGTCAATTGATACATGGAAGGCAAATCTGAATTTGAAATAAGTAAATTTAAAAATAGTTTTTCCCAATTTCTTCTGTTCCTGATTTCTGATCTTTGGTACTTGGTACATTTATCCACTATTTTCTTATTGAAGAGTTTAGCATTAAATACTACATTTTAAAATTATTTTTTGCTTTGGAAAGGTAACGCACAATCAGGAAAATGTATTTGATCTCCAGTGGATGGAAGTGACTGATATTTCTCAAGAGGATCTTGAGCCACTCTTGAAAAATATGGCATTACATTTAAAAAGACTTATAGATGAGAGAGATGAACACACAGAGGTATGTATTTTATTTTTTGTTGCTGTATTTGTTAACTTGTTTTTAACTTAAAGGTAAAACAGTCCTAATACCTCAAGTGGTTTTAAAAATATTCTTCTTCTCAGGAACTATTCTTAAAGTATTATATTTCCACATTTATGTAGGGCATGGGAACCATTCTAGAGCAATATAGAAGTCCCAACTTGGCAAAGAAACAAATTGTAGATGTAAATTTTCTTTTTTAAAAGGTTCTTATTGTTCCTCTGTGGCTTTTTTAAGTCTTATCCTCACAGCTCTGGCTCAGTACAGAAGTGTGAGACTGAAAATATATTTGATGCAAGTGAGAAAAAATGGACTAGCAGCATAAGGATGTGCTTAAGGTTAATTTCTTGGTTTTATTGCCACATTTAAAGAGTGGAAAAATAAGATCAAGGAGAATAACAGGTGTTCTGGATAAAACATCTGTCTCAGAAGTTCTCAAATTCTAGCAGTGAATGAAAAGTTATGCCAAAAAAATGACTTTAGGCCGACGTTTTCCAGCATGAGAGAAAATATACTTAACTCTCTCTGTATGTCATGTGAAGGCATTTGGCCGTTTTGAAAACTAGAAAAATGCATGTGGTTGGCAAAAATAATTTTTTAGCAGCTGAACCAGACAACTCAGGCTGTTATTGATTTGTGTAGTTGATCTCATGATGGGGGAAAACTACCATAAGGGGAAAATTCACACTGGTATTTGTGAACATAATATGCACATGAGTTCACTTTTGAAGGTTCTTTTCTATTATTTCTAGGCACCAAAAGAAGAGATGGTGTGGGTGGTGCATAAAGGGTAATTTTAGAGCTAAGACCAAATTTGAAAAGAGACGGTGCAGTTAAGAGGGACTAGAAAAAAGAGAGAATCTGTGGAGAAACAATGCTCAAAAATATGTATCTTAATTATACTTGATTCTCCCATTTGCTTTCCGTTTCAATCCCTTTCCTAAATTAGATATTATTCTATTACCTTCTCTGTCATACTTGCTTTGCTTTCTTTTTGCCAAGTCCTTCTGTTCTATATTCATTATTTTTGAAAAGTTTGAATAAATCACGTTACATGATTCCTATTGTAATGATGCATGCATCATTACTGCTATGTTTATCATGCTTTTGTTTCTCCTTGATAAATACACATATAAAAACTGTTTCAGCTCAGACATATAGCTTGTGATAAAATAGTCAAAATGGAATATGTATGTGTCAGGGTGGAAGGAATGTTTGGGATAAAGTAGTATACTTCAGTATATCCAAATTTGCAATACTTTTATCCCCCCCAATTCCTATCTGTTTTCCTTACTTCCTTGTTTTTATTATGGGTGCCACCATTTTTCCAGTCACTTAGGCTCCCAAGCTGAGAGTCATTCTTGATGCTTCCTTCTGCCATATTTAACACATATTTATTCAGTCGTAAAGTCTTCTCAGTTCCATCACATCTTTCTCATCTGTCCCTCTCTCTCCATTTCTATATCTTCTACCCCAATTCAGTTAGTAAACATTTCAGTGCCTCCTTTGTTCCAAGCACTGTGTTCAGTGCTGGGAGATACAAAGAAAGGCAAAAAGACAGCCCTTGCTCTCAAGGAGATCATAGTCCTATAGGGAAACAACATGAAAACAGTTGTATACAAAGAAGACATATACTAGTTGTTGAGATCCTCTTAGTAGTTCTCCCACTTTCCAGTCTTTCCCATCTCCAGTCCATCTTCTCTCCACAACTGCCAAGTTGATATGCCTGGAACACAATCTGACCATGTTACCTTACTCAGAAATTCTCAGTGGCTCCTAGCATAAAGGACAAATTCTCATTCTGGTGTTTGAAGTCCTCCATAATCACCTGACTTTTCAGTATTATTTCTTATTACATCCTTTCACACATTCTCATTCTAGTCAAACTAGCCTACTAATTATTTTTATGTAACATTTCATTGCCTCCTTCTATACTTTTGCACAGATTGCCCCATGTTTGTAATGAGTGATTTAAAGACCAATTATTTAGTGCCTACTTGCTTGTTTTAATGATTTAAATGAACCTGGAAAAGGCAGTATGGTATAGTAGAGAGAGGGCCAGCTTTCAAGTCAGAAACTTTATGTGCCAGGCACTGGCAAAACAAATATAAACATGAAGACAGGCTTTGCTCTCAAAAAACTTACATTTTAATAAGGGAAGAACACAAGGAAATAAGTTTTGGAAGATATTCCCTTTCACCTCTGCCTCTTAGAATCTCTTGCTTCCTTCAAAGCACAATTCAGGTGCCACAGTCTACAGATGGCCTTTCCCAGTCTTCTCTATCTTATTAATGTTCTCAACCTCTTAAAATTATGCTGTATTTTTTTGCATATGTTCTGTATTTACTCCGATAAAAATTTTAAAATATTTTTGTTTACTTGTGTGCCTGTACATCATCCCCCACTAGAATGTAAGCTATTTCAGGGCAGAGACTGCTTGATTTTTAACCTCATGTTCCCAGCATATAGCACAACCCATTGCACAAAGTAGGTGCTCAATAAATACTGAATTAAATCAAATGCATTAGCCTTGTATCTTTTAGTTCTTATGTCAGACCTCAATGAAAATTTAAAAGCAAAAACAACCTTCAAATAATAAAAATAACTCCTACCTATTCTTAAGGGAAGTAGCTAGGTGGTGCAACAAATAATATTGTACTTGATGTTAGGAAGATCTGGGTTCAAATTCTGCCTCAGACACTTACTATCTGTATTACCCTGGATAAGTCACTTAACTTCTTTCAGTCTCCAATTATTAGTAAAATAGGCATAATAAATAGTACCTACCTTATAGGGTTATTATGAAAATGTTTGTTAAAGCAGTTTGCAAACCTTAAAGTGCCATGTAAATACTATTATTGAATATAGATACACTAGAAACAGATTCCCTTGCTTGGGATTTGTTCCATTCTCTCTTCTCTGAATAAAACTTTAGGCTAAAATCTGAAGGTAAACCCATTTTGCTCCATTAAGACCTGATACCTCTGAAACCTTCAGGACTAAAAATGGGCCTTAGTCAGTTTTGTCCCCCAAGATCCAAATGCGGAGTGTCATTAATAAACTAGGAAGAACCAAAGTCCACTCAGAAAGTTGGGCTAACCCACTCTGACCCTCTTTAAAAGTCCATCTGCTATTTTAGCATCCTGCGTGGCAGGGGGACAGGTGGAGTGGTAGGTAAATCTGGAAAAGATAGACAATTAAGAGTTAGGAGTTGAAGGAGGGAGTTATCAAAAAGTAGAGATAGGAGAAGGCTAGTAAGGTATCGCAAGAATTATTTTTATTATAATTATCCTCTATTTCTCAACCAAATATTGGTAAAATAATATAATTCTGATCTTAGATCTCATATCTATAGAAAAAATCATAATGCTAGCGCAGTGATATTCAGAGCACTTTCCTTATTTGATATTGTATTCCTCCATAATTCTCAGTTTCTTGGGTTGGTAGTAGCTGTAATATAGAGCAAAGATTTGGATTTGGGGTCAGAAGTCCAGGAGTTGCTGCCATTTATTAGCTAGCAGTGGTATAGTAGATGATCTCCAGTGTCCTTTTCAAGTTCCACCTTTGGTCGTAATGCCTATTTAGTTTAAAAAATAGTTTACCTTGTACTTTTTATAGTTCATGTAATATTTTCCTTATAGCCCAGTTCCACCTTCATTATAGTGATAGTGAAACTGAAGTTTAAATGACTTGCTCAAGGTCATAAAACCTTGGAATAGAACTCCCATCTAGTATTTTTCTCACAGTAATTACTTGTTGTTAGTAAAATAGAATCAAGAATCTCTGTCCAATTGAGAACAAGCTCAACTGCTTTATATGCCTTTCGCAGCCATGAAAGCAAGGTCTCTAAGCTGAAATGTCTCAAAACTGCACCTGTGACATCTGTACTGTTATTAGCTCTCTTTCAGAATCAGCTGACACATGTCTTTTGGCTTTGAATTTTGGATGGGTTATTGGTCTTTTGAAACCAACCACAGATAGTTTGTATATACATATGGTCTGTTGCACTAGCTATAATGAAAGCGTTAATATTATCATTGTTATCATCATCGTTATTATTGCTTCCACTACCAATTGTAATACAGCCTTTTAATGTTTTTGCAAGCACTTAATTCATAACAGTCCTATGAAATTAAATAGTGTAAGTCTCCCATTTTGCAGAAGAAACTAAAGCTCATAAAAGTTGTTACTTGCTTAGGATCAAATATATAGTTTTTGGAGCTGGAAATCCCCTGATTCTAACTTCTGCCCTTCCACTCTATCCTTTATGTAGACACCAAAATAATCTTCCTAATATTTAGGTATGATTGTATCAATCCAAAAAATTCAGTTGCTTTTTATATGCTATATGATAAAATACAAACTCTTAGGAAATATTTAAGGCCCTCTACAATCTGGCTTCAACCTCCTGTTTTAGCCTTGTTTGACATTATTCATCTTTAGTGCACTTTAATGTTTTATCCGAACTGTAGTAATTATCGTTCCCTAATTTTGGCTTCCCTTCTATCACAGTGGTTGAATAACGTTGGGCAAATTTTTATCTCAGTAATCAGCATCATCTTCTATAAAATGAGAGAATTGGATGAGGTTATAGAAACATAAAACGTTAGTACTAGAAGAGATCTTAAGAGATCATATTAGTAAAATTCTTTTGTTTTACAGCATGGAAATTGAGGAGCAGGAGAGTAAAATGACTTTAACATAGTAAGTCACTTAGCTTAGAGTGTGGTAAAACTGAGACTTAAATCCAGGTCTCCTGATCCAGTTCATTTTCCACTATGGAATTTGTAGGGTTTCTTTTAACCCTAAAAATTTTTTGATTCTGATTTTATTATTTGATTATTTTTTAAAAATTACTAAAGTATGCTTTTTTTTACTATGCCCTGCTGCCTCTTATATTTACTTAAGATTGTGGGATGGATCATAATGTTTAGAGCTGGAAGGGACCTTAAGAGATTATAGTACAACTCTCCCCTTTT